CACTCACAGCCCTGCCTGCAGCGGGCTCTCCAGCCAGCCAGCGACAGATGGCAACCGTGGGCACTGTTGCCAGGGTTGCTGCCCCAGAGAGGCGTCTCTGAGGCGCACCGCCAGTTCAGACACCCAGCACCCCATCCTCGTGGCGTTTCCAAGGGCGCGGATGCTCATTTCAACCTTCATTCAGGAAAGCAGAGGCAGCTTTAGATGTTTCAGAGGAAGATTTAATAACTAGGATGCTGGGATTGCTGCAGGAGCATGAGAGCAGGCAGCTAGCGCTGGCCCTGGCGGGCCCCGGAGTCCACTGGCCATGGGGCCACCGGCTTCTGAGCCCAGCCCCGGGCAAAGCTGAGCTGGCGCTCACCCACGTGCAGGGATGATATCCACGTGGGTAATGCCAGCGCCTCCTCCCCCTCCGCGGCAGCCTCTCCTGTTGACCGGCCCAGAAGCCAGCTGCAGGCTAGGCTGGGAAGCACTTCTGGTGGCCAGAGCTACAGAGACGCAGGCTACCTGCCAGCAAGGATGAGAAGCCCCTCGGACATCGCCGGCCACCTCCCGACTTGGGGTGCGCGAACAGGACCAGGGGCTGCCCTTGGTCGGGGAGGCCTCCCTCAGGGCCGTGGCTGCTGCTTACCTCTCCCGAGGTGGAAGCGTGTTTCTTATTTTGAAATGGTGGGCATGTCCCCTCTTCTCTGAAGATCTCCTTTGCCCCCCTCCTTTCTCCTCAAGATGACTTCCAGCTTCCGGGTCCCTGCCAACTCGAGTCTGCCCCCTTTCCTCCCTTCTCTTCTTTCTCCAGGTGCCGCTCTCTCCGTTATCCTTCCGAATCTTAACCCGCCCGCTCTCAAATGTGCCCCAAAGAGAATGACACTCTCACCTCCTAAAACAGCTAGAGAATCAAAACATCGGAAAGCTTGAAAATATGTCCACACCAAATTCCTACAACTTTACTGCCATCCAAAGCCAGAGAAAGAAGAGATGGCGCAGCTAAACAGGCCAACTACTGGCAGTGAAATGGAAACAGTAGTCAACACCCTCCCCGAGAGCAAAAGCCCAGCATCAGACGGATTTACGAATGAATTCTGCCAAATGTTCTATCCTACATGAATTCTTACCAAAAATTGAGAAAGAAGGAATATTACGAAATTCATTCAATGAAGCCAACATGGCAAACAAGACCAAACAAAGAAAAAAAAGAACGCTTCAGGCCAGTCTCGCTAATAAACACTGATGCAGAATCCTCAATAACATCCTCGCCAACAGAATCCAGCAACGTGCATCAGAAGGATAACGCCCAGGACCAACCCATCAACAAGAAGAAAAATGAGAACCATATGATCATCTCAATAGATGCAGAGAAGGCATTCGGCAAAGCTCGACATCAATCTATGATAAAGGCCCTTGAAACTGTGGGAACAGAAGGAACATACAGGAACATGATAAAAGCCATGTTTGACAAACCCAAAGCCAACAGTATTCTCAATGGTAAAAAGCTGAAAGCCTTTCCTTTGGGATCAGGAGCAAGACGAGGATGTGCACGCTCGCCACTGCTCTGCAACATCAGACTCTACGTCCTCGCTAGAGCTACAGGACAGGAAAAAGACACACAAAGGAATCCACACAAGAAACAGAGAAAGAAGTGAAACTATCATTATTTGCAGATGATATAATATACTTACAAAACCTTGAAACCCCCACAGAAAACTAATCAAAACAATCATCCAGTTTAGTAAAGTAGCAGGATATGAAATCAACACTCAAAAGTCAGTAGCTTTCCTCTATACAAACAACCAGCAGCAGCAGAAGAAATCAAGAAAACCATCCCTTTTATGATTGAAAGAAAAAATATCAAATACATGAGGATAAACCTAACAAAAGAGGTGAAGGACTTAATACAAAGAAAATTATAAACACTTTTGTTAAAAACAAATGGACACAAAGAAATGGAAAGCCGTCCCTTGCTCAGGGATTGGAAGAACTCACATGACCAGCAGGGCCATCCTGCCAAAAGCATTTGACAGACTTAATGCTGTTCCGACAAACTCTCCATGACATTCTTCAAAGAAATAGAAATAGAACATATCTTGGTGAAATTCACACGGAGCCACAAAAAACGAGAGAGCCAAAGCTCTCCTGCCTAAAACAAAGGAGAGCGGAGGCGTCACCCCCAGACTTCAAACTATACGACAGTCCCAGTGTGGTACTGGGACAAAGATCGACACACAGACCAGTGGAACCGGACAGTCAGCCCCAAAATAAAAGCACACATGGATGGACAACCAATCTTTGGCAGAGGAGCCAAGAATATGCAATGGAAGGAGAGTTTGCTCAACCAGTGGTGCTGGGAGGACTGGACCAGCGTAAGCAAAAGAAGGAAACTAGACCGCTACTCACACCATGCCCAGAAACCAGCTCCAAATGGCTAAAATAACTGAACATAAGACCTGAAGCCATAAAATATGTTGAAGAAGATACAGGTAAAACACTACAAGACATACATCAGCCCCTAGGGTAAAGGAAACGAAGCAAGAGGCCTGTCTCAGCAAGACACTCATCAAAACCCAGGGGGAGAAACTCTGCACTTCACACAGCTGATGAGGGATGGATCACAAAGAGAAAAAACACTCACAGGGCTCAAGAAACAAAGTAAAGAATCCAGTCAAAAAGTGGGCGGTAGAGGCCCTCCCTGGTGGCGCAGCGGGTTAAAGCACAGC